CACTTAAGTGAGGTAGATCGCCCAAGATTTGGCAATTACCTTCCACATCACTGTGTACTTCGCGAGAACAGTGAAACGACGAAATTGAGAGTAGTGTTTGATGCCTCAGCTAAAACATCATCTGCGGCAAGTCATTAAATGACATACAGGCGGTAGGCCCAGTAGTGCAGTCCGATTTATTCTCTATTTTGTTACGATTTCGCGGGCACAGGTTTGTTCTCTTAGGAGATATTGAGAAAATGTACAGACAAACTGCCTTGCATGAATCTCAACGTCACCTTCAGTTAATTTTGTGGAGGGATTCATCCGTTAGTACGGAACCAAATAATGGAAATTTAAAGGTTCTACAATTAAACACAGTAACGTATGGGATGGCCAGCGCTCCGTTTTTGAGCACCAGATGTCTATTACAATTGGCTAAGGAGTGTAATGATGACGTTATTGCGAGAATAATAAAAAATGATTTTTACATTGACGACTTAAATACGGGTGCGAATAGTGAAAGTGAATTACAGAATATATATGTGAATGTTAAAAAAATTTTAGATTCAGCATGTTTTCCCTTAAGAAAAATTCGTACTAACTGTTTGCACGCACTTGATTGTGATGATAGTGTATTCGACCCGGTAAATTTGACTAAAGAATCCAGCGTGCTGGGTTTAAATTATTCTCCAAAACTCGACATCATTCAATTTCCCGCGAAGGTGGAATCGCCACCGCAAATTGTTACAAAAAAGGTCGTAATAGCTACTATTTCTAAAATATTTGATCCGTTGGGATTAATTTGTGCATGCATTATTAAAACTAAAATATTTTTACAACAATTATGGGTCATAAAATTAAATTGGGACGACCCCATACCACAAATTCTATTGGATACGTGGTTAAAATTTATTTCTAATTTACATTACATTTCTAATATTAAAATTAATAGATATGTTCTTTGCGATAACCCCGTGTCAATAGAATTGCATTGTTTTGTTGATGCGTCACAGAAAGCATATGCCTCATGTGTATATTTACGGTCAACAAATGAAAAAAATGAGGTCACTGTTAGACTTTTGTGCGCAAAGGCACGTGTTGCACCCTTAAAACCTATTACTATACCGAAATTGGAATTACTTGGTACTTTGCTGGGAGCTAGATTATGTGATAAAATTATACAGTCATTACGATTTAATATAACTAACAAAACTATTTGGACAGATTCGACAGTTGTCTTAGGTTGGCTAAGAACTGATGTAAGAAATCTTAAAATGTTTGTCTGCAATAGGGTTAATGAAATTAACGAGCTAACAAGTGGTTTCGAACACAGACATGTACCTACGAATATGAACCCAGCTGACTTGGCCTCAAGAGGAGTTGAACACCAGGACCTTTTATCTTCTTCATTGTGGTGGGAAGGTCCTTCTTTCCTACAGAAGGAGCGTTCAGAGTGGCCACAGAATTCTTTCGTAGTTCAAAACTTACCTGAGTTAAAGGTACATTCTTTGATAGCTGCATTGGACAATTCTGATGACGGTAGTTTATTTATAGAATTTAAAAGGTACTCGAGTTTCAATAAAATAAGTAGAATATTTGCCTATGTGTTACGTTTTGTTAACAATTGCAATAAAAACAAACATAAATATTCAGGCCCTATAAGTTCAGACGAAATAAAAATTCAGTGGTATTACTAATAAAAAAAAATGTCAAGTACAATCGTTTCCTTTTGAAATTGGGTTACTCAGGCAAGGAAAACAATTACCACAAAAGAGTAAATTACTACAGTTGACTCCATTTGTGGATTCACACGATATAGTTCGAGTGGGTGGTCGTTTGGGAAACTCAACTTATAATTTCGATAAGAAGCACCCTATACTATTACATTCAAAACATCATTTTACCAAGCTATTAATGATTAATGAACATATACGTTTGTTCCACGCAGGTCAACAGCTGCTGTTAGCGTCAGTGCGTGATAAATACTGGCCTATTGGTGGAAGATGTTTAGCGCGGCAAGTAGTTAGACAATGTATTATTTGCGTTCGTCTAAGAGCGGATACGATGCAGCCAATAATGGGTCATTTACCTGAGGCGCGTACAAATGCTTGTTTTCCTTTCTACTCGTGTGGAGTTGACTTTGCTGGACCTTTCATGATTAGTAACCGGAAAGGTCGTGGTAATCGTATCACTAAATGTTACTTATGTTTATTTGTTTGCCTCAGTACAAAGGCAATACATTTAGAGCTGGTGAGTGAATTGAGTACTCAAGCTTTTATTTTATGCCTAAAACGGTTCATATCACGTAGAGGAAAATGTCATGAGATTTTTGCGACAACGGCAGGAATTTTGTGGGTGCGAACAATGAACTGGGTAGGTTGCTTAGATCCAGCCGTCAGTCTGTTAGTGATTATGCTACTTCTGAAGGAATCAAATTTGTATTTAGCCCCGCATATTCTCCCCACTTTGGTGGTATATTTGAAGCTGGAATTAAATCAGCAAAATTTCACTTAAAACGTGTAGCTGGAAATGCTGCTTTGACGTTTGAGGAGCTAGCAACGCTATTTGCGCAAATCGAAGCTATCCTTAACTCACGTCCGCTGACTCCTCTCTCGTCCAATGTTACTGATCCTTCTCCTCTGACCCCAGGCCACTTCTTAATTGGGAGACCACTTACGTCTATTCCGACGAAGCCCATCACTGCTACTAGACCAAACAGATACGAGCTTATTGAGAAAATAAGGCAGCACTTCTGGGAGCGGTGGCGCCTTGAGTACATCTCCGAGTTGCAGCAACGCACCAAATGGCGCACCGGGCAACAAGGCCTCGCCTGCGGGGACGTGGTGGTACTGAAGGAGGACAACTTACCGCCATTACAATGGCGGATGGGGCGTGTGTGTCGCCTCTACCCAGGGGCCGATGGCGTTAGTAGGGTGGCTGACGTCACTACTTCGAGGGGCATTATACGAAGGGCTATCAATAAACTATGTCTTCTGCCCACTTCAGAATCGAAAGATGACAACGAACCAGAGGGAGGCGTCCCGAGGCTCCAGACCTCGTCTACTTCTTGAAAGCTAATGCTTTCAACGCGCCGGAGGATGTTCACGCATCTAACGTGTGGACCACAGCGGCGGGAGACGCGGCGGGCGGGGGACGCACACAGCTGATCGGGCGCACCGCCGCCGCGCCCCGATCGGCTCGCAGACAGATTTGGTCAGCGACAGAGGTGTCGTGCTCGAAGAAATTACTTATATATTTAATCGATCTGTATTAAAGTAATTTTTTATCTAAAGCGAGTCGTTCATTATTAAATCCTGAACAAAATATAATAACAAACTCTTAATATAATTTCTTCTTCTCAGTATTAACATGGACTTTAGCTTAATGGGGTCGTATTATCAATAATCAACGTGTACCTACGAGTATACAGTAAGTCATTGATTCGTCTTACACACGCCACAGTTCTAATTTCAGAAGGAGTTATTTTGAGCATGTTTTGAGGACCGGAGATTGGTCCAATTTGCCTGTATTGTGTAGGTAATAATATGTACTTAATTCCTTCTGTGATACTCCACGTTAAACATTGATTGGATATATTTATGCCGTAGTTTATGTGAGAGTAATAAAATGATATAGGTACATCTTTTTGGGTTTTGTTGAAGTGCTTATAAAAGACTAACCACTTCCGCGCGGTTCACACGCTCTGCTCAGCTCCTATAGGTCGTAGCGTGTTGTTTTATAGCCTATAGTCATCCTCGATAAATGCGCTATCCGACACAAAAAGAATAATTCAAATCAGACTTGTAGTTACGGAGATTAGCGCGTTCAAATAAACAAACAAAAAAACAAAGTCTTCCGCTTTATATAATAGCATAAGATGAAAGGCTTACTTATTGTTAAGCATCTGACGTTTGCGTTAACTCTTTGAGGAGCATCTACATTGATAGGTAAATGACTTAGGTTTTTAATCGACTTCAAAAAAAGGAGGAGATTTTAATTCGACCGTATATATGCTTTTTTATACCACGACTGTGGCAAGAAAAGCACACAGCCCACCTGATGGTAAGTGGTTACCATGCCCTATGAACGCTTGCAACACACACTATAAACCTGTAGTGCAGTGCAACAATACATCTTCACACACAACTTTTATAATCAAGTGTATGAATTCTAGAAATGTATCTAACAGTGAAGTTTAAGGGGCTTGTGAAAGACATATGGCAAGCAGTCGATGGCAGTCGCTGTTCTGACCCCAAAACTTGTTAAGAAAAGTTAACACAAAGAGCAAAAATATGGGGAAATATCCAAACATTTCTCCAAGTCACAATACAGCCAAAATGCTGGAAGCTATTTTTCCTTTACATCCGTGTTACCCAAACTGCCAGGGGCATATTTTCTTTGGAATAAATTGGAAGCACAAACCAAGGTATGAAGGTCTTCGATCGAACCATTATGTTATCAGTTATATTCCTGTTCCGAAATTATAATACCCTGATGAATGCAGGCTTAATAGCAGTTATATATTTTGTTCCTCTTATGAAATGACGAGACTGTTGGTGCGGTGGCTGGGCAACGGGCTGCCGCGCAACGTGTCGCGGGTTCGATTCTCGCACGGAGCGACTCTTTATGTGATACACAAATTGTTATTTCGGGTCTGGATGTCATTGTGTACTTGTATGTTTGTAAACGCACCCACGACACTAGAGAAAATCCTAGTGTAGGGAATGTCTTTTTTTTCAATAAGACTTGGTATAAATCTATTATGACGATATGATATATGAATTTATTAGTTATTATATCTGTATTACTATTTTTCGATGGATTCTATCGAGAATGTACCTGAGATACTTAAGAGACCACAGACCTTTTTACCAGCTATGAGTTCCACGTAATGTCCCGATAAGCTTTAACTTACCTTTCAAATCGTGCATAAATAATAAAGGTTTTAAACAAGGAGTCTTAAAGCTAAATAATAAGAACATTTCTTTTAAAAACCTTATATTGTCAAAACTTTTATTTTAACATGAAGATTTTCCAGAACTGATGCTTTGTGATTCTGAAACGAAACCAAAAAAAGGAGAATTTTAAACATTTTCTTTATTTATTTATTTTTTTCTTCTTTGGCAATTTTCTTTCTTTTACTCAACTAACTGCGCATGAGTTTATAACTGTCAAACCTTTTAAAAAAGTAAAGATTTTAACTTTTTGACTACATGTTTTTTGTACATAATTAAAATTATAAAAAAAGATAATTTAATTAAAATTAACTATTATAATACATTATTGTGAGAAGTTTATTTCATTCTTGTCTTTTGTCGTCGTTATCATGCCTATCTGTTTGAATTTAAACTCAGTTAAATATAATTATAAGCTAGAAATGACTGAGACAGGTCTATTGTTACCTTTAGAAATACATGTATAGGTACTATTGTTTAATTAAATACATGTATATTGTATAGGTAATTACAATACTTAAAAATATAAAAATACTCTGAAAAGACTTTTAATGATTTGTATTCTTATTAAAGGTATAATACTATATAATAAGGTATAATACTAATATGACTATGGATAAGTGTGGGAGAGCCATGCTTCGACACGAATGGGCCGGCTCGACCGGAGTGATACCACGGCCTCACAGAAAACAGACGTGAAACAACGCTTGCGTTGTATTTCGTCGTGTGAGTGAGTTTACCGGAGGCCCAATTACCCCCTTCCCCAGTCTCCCCAATTCCCGAATCCCCCACAATCCTCAAATTCCTAATTCCCAAAAGGCCGGTAACGCACATCGCGACCACTCGGCCACCAGGGCAGTCAATAAACAACTTATATTGAAAAAAATATGAAAAAAACAAGGAAAGAAGTTTTATTGTCTAATTTTAAGTTAATATTATTTAATTATGCAACAACAACTGGATAAACATTTATTATTGTCCTAACGGGTCGATTGAAATCGATCCTGACACAGGAATCCCTGCTGTATAGGAATACTCATGTAGGTAGAAACGTTGAAAGCTCTTAAAATGTAATTTATTTACCTCTATATTGAGACTTGTGAAATCACTTCAAAATAATTGACAAAAGTCGAAAATTAATAATTAAATTCCATTTCAATTAATAAGTCATCGTCTGGTCTTATTAGTTCTACGGCGGTATTTATTGAAAGTTTTGTTATGTACCTGTACAACCTCGTAATTAAAGTTTGTAGAATTGGCGAAGGGTTTTGAAAAGCAGTTGAATCTTTTTCTTTGTGACTTTACTGACAGAGTATTATCGGGCATTTTCGGTTCATCGGAAATTCTTGTTAATGGTAGGAATCTATTTTCATGTACTATCGGCAAAGTTTACGATAGTACACTTTTTAAACAAAATCCTGTGGCAAACTCGTTATCTAACGTGCGATTTCCTATTTCGCTGGTGCCGAGTGCATGCATATAATGCCTAATGATGGTCGACCACCAATTTTGACGACTGTACTTAACACCAGTGAAATGTGGGTATTGCCTTTCGCGTGAACTTCTATATTATACTCTTTTTAGTATTAAAAGCCGTATATATTAGTGCATGTGTGAAAACTTTTTTAAGATTCCATTCTATTGATTTCATTTAAGCAACCTCGTTTGAAAGAATGGCGAATGGTTTATTGAATTCATTGCACGGAGACATTCTATTGGTTGCTAAGCTATGGAACTAGCACTATTACCATGTTGAAATTCTCCGTAGTAACAAGAAATCTAGATTGTGCATTTTTAGCGATTAAGTACATCTATTTCTACAGTTATAGAAAAGAGTGCCACTAACAATAATAGTCACGGTAGTTTAAAACCCGATCCAGGGGATAGACAAACAAACGGATTACCTGATGACAAGCGATTGATGCCATTTATTTCCGTTTCTGACTTTTTTTTCAATAATTGGCTGTTCATGCTCACCTAAAACTAAATCCGGGCAGTACTTAATGGTATGGGCCTGATCACCAGTAGCGCCGCAGCGAGGGCAGTGGTACTTTCGCAAAATTGGACACAACACTCTGCCACGAACATCCTTCAATGCGTGCGATGTGTACCAATCTGATGACTTCCCATTGTTCTTACAAAATGCACACTCCTGTAAAATAAGAAACATCATAACTATTATCATAAGCCGGAATACTTCCATTACTAAACATAAACTCACTTAAGACCAACAACGGTAATCTCACAATAACTAAAACCATTTTCATATTAATGATGCCATGATGAAAGTAATCAAATCTCATGTAGAACCTAGTTTTTAATCCTACATACCCAGGCCTAAATAAATCTATAATTCCTAATTTTACACTTAAATTAAGGCGGAACTCCAGTCGTAGCTCGTAGCGCGTAGCTTGTAGCGCGTAGTTCGTAGCTGCATAGTTCGTAGCGGCGTATACTCGTAGTCCTCATTTTATATAAATTATTTTCGTGCGGTACGGCTGAATTGCCTTCTAGTTAGGTCTACGGTTTGCACTCCTACGAAATGAACAATCGAGATACTCTGCTACGCTCTACAAACCAAGCACTACGAACTACGCGCTACGACCTCCGCGCTACGAGATACAAATGCAGTATTTCGCTGCAACTTAAGTGTAAAACAGGGCTTATAAGGGTTGAGACATGTAAGATTAAAACAATTAAGTCATACCAAATATTTTTGAGTGATCATCCTCTGCCTGCGAAGGACATCAGCATACTTCATCAGGAGTTCCAGTTGTTGAGGAGTCAAAGATAGGAGTGCTGCTTCATGCTGCTTCACCATATTTTCAAAAGTCTTCTCTTTTGGGCACTGTGGTGGTGTCGGCTCTGGTTTAAGCGGCTTAGCAACTGAAATAGTACATAAAACATATTTTATTAACATTAAAAAAATGTAACGCCTACAACCTACAACCTCCATGAACATTGTTATTCGCGATTATATCACACACAAATTATGATAAAATAACTATAAATTAATCAACTCTTCAAAAAGATGATATTAAAGAAGTTAATATTACAGACTCTTCTCTCTAGTCGTTTTATGTTACAGACTCTGTTCTCCAGTCGTGTTATGTTACAGACTCTTTTCTCCAGTCATGTTATGTTACGGACTCTTTTCTCCAGTCGTGTTATGTTACAGGCTCTTCTCTCTAGTCGTGTTATGCTACAGACTCTTTTCTCCAGTCGTGTTATGTTACAGACTCTTCTCTCCAGTCGTGTTATGTTACAGACTCTTTTCTCCAGTCGTGTTATGTTACAGACTCTTTTCGCAAGTCGTGTTATGTTACAGACTGTTCTCTCCAGTTCTGTTATGTTACAGACTCTTCTCTCCAGTCGTGTTATGTTACAGACTCTTTTCTCCAGTCGTGTTATGTTACAGACTCTTTTCTCCAGTCGTGTTATGTTACAGACTCTTTTCTCCAGTCGTGTTATGTTACAGACTCTTTTCTCCAGTCGTGTTATGTTACAGACTCTTTTCTCCAGTCGTGTTATGTTACAGACTCTTTTCTCCAGTCGTGTTATGTTACAGACTGTTCTCTCCAGTTGTGTTATGTTACAGACTCCCATGTAACAGTGAATGACCTTATTATATTATAGTATTTTAGTAATATTTATAAATGTGAAACTTTTGTGTGTTTATAATATGTTTGTTACTCAATCACGTCATAACGGCTGAAGGGATCGTGTTAAAATTTAGAACGGAGATAGATTGTGGCCTGAAATAACACATAGGCTATTTTTTATCCCACGGGAACGCCAGCGAAGCCGCGCGCAGAAGCTAGTATTTAATAATGCCAGAATAAAGTACTATGTGACTCGGAAATCTAACATTAATAAATTCAAATGTTTGAAAAGACGACCATTAATTAAATATTTTGTTTTGATATGTTGCCGTTTTTGTTTTTTCTGTTTATATTAAATTGCGTTATTTATTATTAGATGATAATTTGTATGATTGAGGATGTTTGTGTATATATTAATTATGTTTATGAATCTTGTGGTAAACAAATGCGTTTTGTTTGTTTAATTTAACTTTAAATTCTCCGATTCGTGACATCATCATCATCATCAACATTATCATCATCAACAGCCTATAAATGCCCACTGCTGAGCAAAGCCTCTTCTCAGACGAGAAAGTTTGATCATTAATCACCACGCTTGCTCAATGCGGGTTGGCGATTACAAACTTATAATTAGAAATTATAAGCCCAGGTTTCCTCACGATGTTTTCCCTCACCATTTGTCAGTGCTATCTAGATAATCTGAGAAAGTACATATAACTCGGAAAAAGTCACATTGGTACTTGCCGTTGGTAGGTTTCGAAGCCTCCATTCTTAGCCTCCGGGCCACCAGGACATATTCGTGACAACAAAATGTCAATAACATCGAGTGTACAGTTACTTAGTATTTAGAACGAGCTAGTAGCTACCTACGACATTATACCTACGCGTATAAAAATTGCATTCTTCCCGTTCCAATTGCATTTTCGGGAAATCCCCCGAACTGGGTACTCGGTAACGGAAATACTATTTATTAGTCGCATAATTACTTATTTATATTTCGAACCAATGTTTGTGTAACTCCTGATATCTGTGATTTCAATCTGTGTAATGATGACTGTTGATGAAGCGAAAGAGGTATTTAGGAGTCTTAGCAATTGGCGTTCCATAGTCTCTCCCTACCACTATGAGAGACAGGGTGTGAAGTTATGTATGTATATATGTCTGTGTGTAAAAATATGATATTTTCTAATATGTATATAATATTGGAAAATTACCGAAAGCAGTTTTGCATGTTAGGGATAATGTAACTAACCTATCCGCTTAATTGTATGTTAACCTATGACGTCACACAGCACGCACAAAAATAGTCGTATGTATGTACCTACAAAGTCGTATGTAATCACCTGATTTACTATTCCCGTTTTGAGGTAACAATTTATTTTAATTTCTACCTTCAAACATTTGCATAACAATGAAAAGTCTGTCTTTTACACGTTTACACACGGCCATATCAAACTATACAAAACCAGTTTATCCTGGTGTCGCTTCGCATCATCTTTCCACACATTTAACGTTCAGTTTATACTGGTTATGTAAAGCTCGATGTGTAGCCGTGTGTACATTTAAACCATTGTTTCAATTTTAGAATTTGCTACAGAGGTCGAATAGACCTCAATTTTAATGCGAACAGTTACTTTAAATTCTATCAAAGCAGACGTATCCGCCAAGGAAACCTAATTTTATTAAATCTATATAGATTTATATATAGAATAGATTTATACATATTTTATTAAATCTATATAGATTTACATACAAAATTATGAATCACATATTTTGGCGCTTGAAAATATATGAGACAGATACATAAAATGTGCTTCATAACAGCGAATCATCAAAACTATGGTAAAATATTTTACCTACAACTTTTTACGACCAGTCTCAACAACCTTTATGTAGATATATTTATAGAATAGATATAGAATCTATATACTTACCTAATAAATAAAAAATCGTAAGAATTTGTTTGTCTGTTTGTCCGCGCTAATATCCGGAATTACTAGTTTGAATTGAATTGTTTAACTTTAATTACATGTATGTAATATTTAAAATTATTTAGTGTTTTTATTGTTTAAGATAAATTGCAGCGCCCTGACAGGGTCACGTTGATACTGCTTAACCATAATGTGTTTTATGTGTGCATTGTTACCCACACATGAAGCAATAAATATTTGGAATTTGAATTTCAATTTGAATTCGAATAAGTTCTTTTTATGGTTCGACAGAAGTTTTAAGTAACTTGTATATTGTTGTGCGTCGTTTAGTAATCTAATATATAAAATTCTCGTGTCACAGTTTTCGTTGCCATACTCCTCCGAAACGGCTTGACCGATCATGATGAAAATTTTTGTGCTTAAGTATCCGGTATCTATGAGAATCAGCCAACATCTATTTTTCATCCCTCTAAATGTTAGGGGTAGTCCACCCCTAATTTTTTTTTATTTTTTAGACAAAATTTTTAATTTCTACTTTTTTATGATACAACATACTAAAATACATACAATCCTGAATTTTCACCCTTCTACGAAGTTATTTATATGGCAAAACAACGTTTGCCGGGTCAACTAGTACCTATTATAATTTTTACTGCACGGTTGGCGCAGTGACTGGGCAACTGGCTGCCGCACAACGTGTCGCGGGTTCGATTCCCACATTGAATAACTCTTTGTGTGATCCACAGATTGTTGTTCCGGGTCTAGGTGTCATGTGTATGTGAAATTGTATGATTGTATACGCACTTACGACACAGGAGAAAATCGCAGTGTGGAGCAAAGTTTTATAAAAAGATTTTTTTTCATTTCATTTTATTTAGAAAAGCTATCACTACATAGTATAAAACAAAGTCACTATCCGCCGTCTGTCTGTCCCTATGTATGCTTGGATCTTTGAAACTACGAAACAGATTTTGATGCAGTTTCTATTGTTTGCAGTTCATGCGAAGCCGGGGCGGGTCGCTAGTATGTTATAAAATATCACGCTACGATAAATAGGAGCGGGTAAAACGGCGCGACAGTAGCTAGTGTTGATATAAATTTCACACGAAAATGTGTCAAAATTCCATTTATAGTAGTAAATGTCTACGAAAAGATAAATTGACTTGAGAGTGGCCGTTAGAAGGTATATAAAAAGAAAAATAAGATATTGATTAAGATAAGATATACATATCTTGAATACGAAATTAATTTTATGTCTCGATAACAATCTATCAGTCATTAAGAAAAGTATTTTATGTTAGTATGTTAGTTAATGAAAGCCTAAGATGGAAAACTAGTTGAAATATGATTTGGTACAGTCTGCTTGAAAAACAAGTTAAAGTCTATGGTGGTTTGACCAGTTAGAAAATACCTCGTGATAATTTTAATATGATAGAATTTAAATTCTCTGCCTCGTTGGCCGAGTGGTGGCAAGTGCACCTGCCAGACAAGGGGTCTTTTTAAAAATTCTCAGTAGTAACACGGAGTTTGGAATTGTGTCCGGTATATGGCAATAGGCTCACCCCCTATTACATCGGATTCATAACATGTATAGTGAAATGTGAGTGTTACATTGTACAGTGGTATAATGTACTCCTCTGCCTACCCCTTCGGGGACGAAAGGCGTAATGTTATGTATGTATTTTATTAATAAACAAAAACGTTTTAATATTTAAAAAATATGTTGTTACCTTCTCAGCGTTCCAATAGATTACGAGATTTTGATTTGATCTACGATTCAAATTTTTTAAATTCGAATTAAAATATTTGATTTTATAAATTTTAATAGAAACTATGCCTGCTTGGTATGTAATATAAAGACTTTTTTTCAGACTGTATTATCAATCCAATAATTATTTACGGTTTTATCTTTACGGATGCTGGTTAATATTTATTACCTTTAATTAAAACGGTTTCTTTTCATATATTTAGATAAAAGAATCATATCGTGTCACTGTTCTTTAATTCTGATACTATCGCTTTCGTGAATAATAATCGAGTAGTTTCATAATTTTATGCATCAAACATTTGTTTGCAAAATCGATTCTAGTCAGAATATAAAATGCAATAAATAAACTTCTTTATTCAAAATAAAGCCAAACTGTAATCTATCAGTCTAATTTCTGACATTATAAAATTAAAAAAATATGTAAATACATTTTATTTCAGTAGCTTAATATAAATTATGCAAAGGTGGTAATTAAGACAGATATAAGTTGGGTAATTCCGAATATAAATAATATTAACTATGATCTTACTCGTGTAAGACAGTTATTCTTAGCTCCACAATTTGAAGTTGTACTTATATAGTGCCATCTTTGTCTTTTACTAATAATTTGTAGAGACAGAACTATACTTAAGCTTGACTTAAAATTTAATGGCGTTTGAGTATCTGAACATAAGCAATAAAAAAATACCTAATCAAAAACGACTGTTAGGCTACCCTTACGTTTTTAGTCAGTAAGTCTGACACTCCCTCCCGCTTCACCCAGGCGGGAGCAGTAATTCGATGATTTTCACCCCTTAAAAAAAAGTGATTGTAGCGTAATTAAAAGTTGGCCCCATTGTACCAAGTTTTGGTAAAATCCGTCGAGTAGTTTTTGTTTGCATAACGGTTACACAAACAGACAGACAGACAAAAAATTTACTGATTACATTTTTGGCATCAGTCCCATATTCATCCCTAATCAACCCTTGATAGTTATTTGAAAATATATTTCATGGACAGTTTTGACCTCTTTATAATAGATATATGTAGATATATAGGTATTTTTTTAAAGGGGGGAAAATCATCGAATGACTGCTCCCGCCTGGTTGAGGCGGGAAGGAGTGTCAGACTCTTTTTGACTAAAAATCACCCCGTCCTGCATGTCGAGCCGGAGCCCCGGTAACCCGTTAGGTTCTCCGCGACAGGTATATAGGTATAGATACAAAGTTGAGACTTTCTAATTAGTGCGTTATTTCTATTAAGTGGCCAACTTGCAAATTCAATTACGTAAACATTTTCAAATCGTTACCAAATATTTGTAAAAAAGAAACATTTAGATAAACAATATGGTGAATTTATACTTTTAGCTAACTATAAATATTTTAAAACCTTGACTGATGACAAAAATTTGTTTAAGAAAAAATATACTCTGCTGACGATATGGTTACCGGTGTCCCCATGACGTTTATAATAACGTGTATGGTCAAAATAATCTATACATATAACGTAATAGTAGGAAAGTGAAAACTACACATTGAATATTTTTTAAAAGAATGTTTGGGGCGTGATCTACAAGCGATACCGAAGTTAAAAATATGGTTTTTAGAATTTTTGTCTGTTTGTCTGTATGTATGTACGGGCTAAACTCAAAAAGTACTACATGGATTTACTTCAAATTTGGCACGAGTATTACTAACAGGTTGGGTCAATATATAAGCTACATATTATTACGCTATCACCTACGGGGGAGGAGCTGTGAATCACTAGTCCACACATACAAAGTCGTGGGTACAGCTAGTATTTATATAATCACGATATATTTGATGCTAGGTTATACAACCTTTTCTTTGAGAACCAATAATCTAATTTAATTTAATTACATAATATGTTATTTCCTTAGTGATATTAATAATCAGTCATTTTCGTATATATTAAACATTCCACACTTTCCTTTTATTATGAATGGCGTTAAAGACGTCATTTGTTGATTATCCTTACTAATATTATAAATCGGAAAGTGAGTTTGTTTGTTTGTTTGTTCCGCTTTCACGCCGTAACTACTAAACTGATTGCTTAGATTTTTTGCAGACATAAAGTTAGAAGTCCGGATTAAATAATAGGGTACTTTTTATCCCGGAAAATTGTGATATACCCGAGGGAAAACAAAAGTATTGGTATAGATGGGGCTGTGTGTATTGGTATATGTCACGTATGCTACTTTTTATCCTTTTGTGACGCGAGTAAAGCCGCGGGTAAAAGCTAGTATTTAATAACTAGCTGACCCGGCAAACGTCGTTTTGCCATATAAGTAATTACTAAAATGGCTATTAAAAATAAGGGTTGATCGTAGAAGAGTGAAAATTGAGGATTGTATGTATTTTTATATGTTGTATCATATAAAAATATAAATTAAAAATGTTGTCTAAAAAATCTTAAAAAACATTAGGGGTGGACTACCCCTAACATTTAGGGGGATGAAAAATAGATGTTGGCCGATTTTCATAGATATTGGATAAGCACAAAAAAATTCATCAAAATCGGTCAAGCCGTTTCGGAGGAGTATGGCAACGAAAACTGTGACTCAAGAATTTTATATATTAGATGGTTCCAGTATAGTTCTGTGTCTTTTACTTACGAATAACAATGTGCAATCAAAAAACATCCTTGTAACTAGTAAAATAAGTACTATACAAGTTGGTACCTATATATTTTAATTTCCCAATCTACATTGACTTGTGTTGTGTCCTATTTAGGTAGCATTGTCAGTTTTTAACCTTATTTGCAAGAAAACAAGGTTTTAAATCAGGAACAATAGATAACATTTTTCGATTTCAACTCCGTCATTGGGACTATTCGTATTTTGTGTCATAATTACGTAGATCGGTCATAAAAAACATCATTTTTGGTGGTCTACTGCTGGACATAGTTTCTTTGGCGAAGCATGTAGAAATTGTGTTCCAGTTTAACTACTTAACTGACTATATGTTCTCAGTTGTGTAATGAATCTCTTTTACTAGCTCGGTGAACATTTTCTAATTTCAAGTACCTGTACTTATCAATAAATTCTAAGTTAAAAAGTTCAAGAATCAATTTGATGGCCGGAGTGATCAACTTCAATCAAGACCTCAATAGTTGCATTTGTAAACCAACCTATGCAAATGAACCAAGGAGTTATAGGCAATATTATTAATTATCCTTACTAATATTATAAATGCGTAAGTGTGTTTGTTTATCGTTCTATCACGTCGCAATGAAACGTTTCTATGGTTTCATTTGTGGTAAGAAATTGTAAACAGCCTGAAAAGTGATGTAGGGTACTTTTTAATTATTTTTTTCTATGGCGTAAGTCGGTAAACGAGCAGATGGATCACCTAATCGATAAGCAATCGGCATCGCCCATGGACACCTAGAACACCAGAGGCGTTACAAGTGCGTTGCCGGCCTTTTGGGGATTAGGAGTTTGAGGATCGTTGGGGATTCAGGAATTGGGGAGATTGGGGAAGGGGATGGTAATTGGGCCTCCGGTAACCTCACTCACACAACGAAACACAACGCAACCGTTACTTCACGTCGGTTTTCTGTGAGGCCGTGGTATCACTCCGGTCGAGCCGGCCCATTCGTGCCGAAGCATGGCTCTCCCAAACTTAATACGTCGAAGTTAGCAAATAGATAAGTAGTACGCTATATTTTTACCTTTATTGATCTTAGAAACGGCTTCGGGCTTCGTATCCGCGGCATTGACAGTTCTGTCATTCGAATGCACCGTCACCTGTGCTTCTAGCACGGCAGGATCCAGTTTGACAGCTTCTAGAGCGTCTGCGGACAAAACACCTTGAATCTATAATTTAGTAAGGAAGAAACCGATGAACTAATGCAATATTTAATGCTTTCTCAAGCCAAGTTAGAAATAACCTCGAGTTTGGAGACTTAATTAAGTATAGATAGGATTACTTAGAGATAATTTATGCTGCAGCAGTTAATCAGAAGGTTATTTTGTAACCATGAATTAAAATAAAAGAATACTGGTCGAAGAACTTGCCTTGTTTACTGCGCCGGTTGCCGAGCGAAGCGCCATTTCCATCGAACAAACCCTGGAAAATTAAAATTACACAATAGCTAAAGTAAAACAGAAAAGGTTAATGTAAAATAAACTTCAAATGTCGGAATGATTCTTTCCTGATTAACTTAGAAATTTATAAACCTTATAACCTAAAACTTGAGCAAGTTATTATAAAAATTATTCTGCCATTTACATTGTTTCTTAAATAACTATTAAACTATTTTTTGTAGATATAGTCATATCTACACATGTGGTTACAATACCTACGTAATTTAATGGACCGTAAAAGAATGTGTAGCGTATTATAATTAGGTACCTTACCTTTAGAAAATTAAAAGGTGAGTTGCAAGAACGGGAAGGAACTAATGATTTTATTTCCATTATTTGACCGGTAATTTAAAATTTATATACTTTACGAAAGTAAATTAAATATGATGCAAAATCCAACTTCAAGATAACTATGATTTACGTTAAAAGCAGCAACTTGACAGCAGTCATTCACACCACAGTATTAGTATAATAACGGTTTAGTGTAATTAACTTCATAAGCATAACATATATTTTATTTTTTGCATTAAAGGGTACTCATGCAATCTATGCTAATGTTGCCAGTTTTCTCATTTTTTATTCAGATAACACTGACTAGAAAGAAAACAATACCATTTATTAGGTAAAAATTACAATTCCTCATCGAGATAAATTAACTTTTTTAATGGCGTTTACTCGAAGCGTTTAAACTTGTCGTGACTCCTAGAATGTGACTACTAGCATAATTATTTAGAATAATTAAACAAAGTTATAAAATAAAATAAACATCTTGAATCCCTAGGTTTTATTTACGACATTAGTAAGTGAAGTTCAAATATGGCATTTATTTTATTTCATATACTTGCTTTCTGGTTCAAACCATAATACATTAGACCTCAACTTTCCTCAGGAATCACACCACTTAATGTTGAAAATTGTACAAAAACGCGTCTAGTAGTTTTTGACTTTATCGCGCTCATACTAACATATAGACTTGTAAGGGGGCTTCTTGTAATAAAGATTAAAATTAAATGATCAGCAAGACCAACAAACAGGTTGTATATAAAGCAATTAGCTGTGGTTATGAGTCGAGTCTGTTTTAGAAAAATAAATAACAGGTATTTGCATCGGTAACTACAACGGCCTTGTGGAATATCTGGTCTGACAAGTCAACACGTCGTTGTTACGCTAAATTTAATTCTAAAATGGATTCAACCGACCACAAAGGTCTTTGGAGGCTCGACGTATCTTAATGTGGTTATTTTTTTACTAATTAACTACTTTATTTTAGTATTCCCCATTAGGGTGTTAATCTATTAATTCCTACGACACGACATAAAATATAAATATAGACTATAAACAAAGTATTACTGGGTTTTAAAGAAATCTCAGTAGTAGTATGGAGTCTGGAATTGTGCCCGGTATATGGCAATAGGCTCACCCCCTATTACATGGGACTCATAACATAAATAGTGAAAAGTGGGTGTTACATTGTACGTACAGTGGCATAATGTGCACCTCTGCCTACCTCGTCGGGGATAAAAGGCGTGATGTTATGTTATTTTATAGACTATAGAATTATGGACTAACATTGCAGGCAGCATGCATCATCTACTCACCCATTGTATATCTACTATTGACACAACACTATCAAACTTCACATCACTAAAATACAATTTCAATGCACATATTCCACACCACACTGGCACGTCAACATAATCCCAAAATGTCCCTACAGTAAAATTTCGACTTTATAGCACAATGTTATAGTTTAAAATCCGTTAATGAAGTAGGTTTATATGCATCCTGTGGTTTTGTACGTGATGTGTAGGTACATGACGCAGCTTGCGTGGCTTGGCTCATGATATAACTCCGGTTCTTTTTATTGCACCTACGTTTTCTATGACCGATAAGAACGTACGAACTTGGTACGTACATCTGGCGTTACGTTACATTATCGAAGTAGTAGTAAATACGTACTTGTAACGTGTACTTGCGTAAATCTTGTTTCCTACTGCTATTGAAGATTTCTTTTCATTATCGTACTCTTTTCCTTATTGTTCATTTCTTTATACAGACTGTTAGGTACATTTTTCTTAGGTTGTAGTGGTTTGTTCTCCGTGTGCTTATCTACATGTGCAATAGTTTGTTCTTCATATATATATTTTCCAAGATTAAAACCGATCGTAGAAGATTATGCTAGCTATGACGAGTTATAACAAACCAGGTGCGTGAATATGTTGGATACCGGAGGCCCAATTACCCCATTCCCTAGTCCCCGTCTCCCGAATCCCCAAATCCCCGAATCCTCCACAATCCTCAAATTCCCAATTCCCAAAAGGCCGGTAAAGCACTTGTAACGCCTTGGTGTTTCGAGTGTCCATGGGCTGCGCCGATTGCTTTCCATCAGGTAATCTGTCTGCTCGTATACCGGCTTTTGCTATAAAAAAAATTCAAAATGAGTATTAAAGGACAAGGACAGGTAGATGGCGCTGTGTAGTTTGTGTAAACTCCCATGTGGCAAAATATGTGAGTGAACTTGTATTGTGTGCGAGTGCATCTCGCACATATATGTAGATGTAAGTACGTTTAAAATCTTGTTGCCTAAGACATGATTAAGATCTCGACCTAGATATCAAGAATTAAAAAAAAACTAGATAGTATACCACGAATGCATGTACACATATGTACATTATACGTGCATACTTATGTATATACGTATACAAGTCTGTAGGTACTATAGGCATATCTGCGCAGTTGGCTAGTCTAATTAATGGTTTCTAAGAAGACTTTGGAGACATTATTACCCATTACTCAAACAGTGGAACTTTTATTCAATTTGCAGAAGGCGTAATAACATTTCAGAAGTCAATTTTGGTTTATGAAAGCTAAAATTAGAACATTGATGTTCCTACGTACAAAATATATTCGAAACGATGATTATTTATTTTTAAAATTAATTTCTTTTTTTCCTGTTTGTTGTAAAAAAGGAAGAAGGTAAAGGGAAAGGAGTTTATATATCTTTTGAGGATTGAAGAATAAAATGTTGAAGAATAAATGGGTCATCTGATAATGAAACATTTGATAAAACAGGAAGTCAAGTTCGTTTGCCATGTCCGAAAAAATATTCAGTTTCTTCAGTTTTTCGATAATTCTCAGTATTGGCACGAATGTTAAGATTGTACTCGCTTTATGACACTAGGTTTACCCCGTATTACATAAGAAAAGTAGTATACATAATTAAAAACTAAATGTTCTTAACTTTAAAAATAGGGCACTTACCAAGTGTCCACGGAGAATATTGAATATTGAAAAAAAAAAACAAAAAAGTTTAATTATTGTTTTTTCGGCTTACTCACGTAACGGAATGCTGCTCATGAGTATGAGCCTCTAGCAAGACTTGAAACCAGTCGAGTTCCTCGTCAAATAATTACGTGAATAAGCTGAAAAACAAAATAAATACTTTAGTATGTCTCACGAAAGTTGTAATATAAATATTAAAGTGTACCTATTTCTTCAATTATTAAAAGACGTATTATTATGTCCTTAATAAAAAACACCCTAATATAGACAGTACGTACGAATATAACTTAATTGAAATTACATTATTTATAAAGTAATCCTTTATTCATTCGACTTTTAATATTTCATAAGTATGCCTAATGTAGATCGATGCCACTTCTACCCTTGTATATGAATAATTAACGACGCAAGAGTGCCTTTCTGTGAAGTCAGAAGTTAATAGGATCATGACAAACACTTCCAGTATATACCTATTGTTACAAATTAATTATTTTAATTTTACTACCATTTTTGCTAGTTTCTGTTTAAATACACTTGGGAGCAAATAAATGGAGCCACTAGCGTTTTTGTTTTCATTTTACCGAACTGTCTATAATATTTAAAAAAATGTTTCTTTAAAACAAAATGCTCTCATTTTATAAGTAACAATATTGTCTTTTGTTTTTTTTATAGCATAAGCCGGTAAACGAGCAGACGGATCACCTGATGGTAAGCAATCGGCACCGCCAATCGAATCTCGAAACGCCAAGGCTTTACAAGTGCGTTACCGGCCTTTTGGGAATTGGGAATTTGAGGATTGTGGAGGATTCGGGGATTCGGGAGACGGGGACTAGGGAGGGGGGTAATTGGGCCTCCGGTAACCTCACTCACACGGCAAAACACAACGCAAGCGTTGTTTCACGTCGGTTTTCTGTGAGGCCGTGGTATCACTCCGGTCGAGCCGGCCCTTTCGTGCCGAAGCATGACTCTTCCACACTTAGCACGTACTTTGTATGACATACCTTACTAATTAATAAGATATTTGTATTAGAAAATGTTTACAAAGAAATGAAAAAGAAATTACGTTAGTGGCTTCGTTTCTTTGCTCGCAAGTGTATGATCATTGGGCATAACTACGACTACTAATTACTTACGTGGTTTCAAATAAGGTTATAAATAATATAACATCACGCCTTTTATTCCCGAAGGGGTAGGCAGAAGTGCACATTACGGCACTTAATGCCATTGTACTTTTCACTGTTTATGTTTTGAGTCCCATGTAATGGGGAGTGAGCCTATTGCCATATACCGGGCACAATTCCAGACTCCGTGTAACTACTGAGAATTTCTTAAAAAACCCAGTAATAGGTACGTTGCCCGACAGTTGCATTTGCGACCACGCGGCCAACGAGGTAACCAGACTAACAAAGTCTTACTGAATATTTTCATTTCAGCAGTCGACGCGGACACCCAAAGTATCACACACATCATATCAACAGCCTAACAACTGTAACTAGCATAGTACAAATTATAAGCCCAGGTTTCCCCACGATGTTTTCCTTCACCGTTGGTCAGTGGTGTCTAAATAATCTTAGAAACTACATATAACTCGGAAAAGGTCAAATTGGTACTTGCCGTTGGTAGGTTTCGAACCTGCACCCTCGTGCATGAGAAGCGGGCGTCTTCAACCTGTGGGCCACCACGACACAGCTTGAGCTGTGGTAAGTGATGATGCGACCAACTATGGAGCATGTCTCATGTCATACATAGGTTAACCTTCAGGAAACTGGCGAAAGGCGGGTGTCATTAAATCTGACAATTAATAGACTCGACTCTGAAAGGAATTATAAATCAGCACAGACACATCACACCCTTCGACCCTGTAAATCTCATCGTAGATAGACCTAAAGTAGAAAACGCGTGAAATACTATTTAATAATAATAATTTAACGGCGAAAGTCATCATCATCATCATCAACAGCCTGTAAATGCCTACTGCTGAGCAAAGCCTCTTCTCACACGGAGAAGGTTTGAACATTAATCACCACGCTTGCTCAATGCGGGTTGGCGAT